CTAAGCAAGCTTCTACCGGTTTGCACTCACAACTCAAAAGAGTGCACATGTGTTGTGGTTTTAAAGTAGTAACTAAAAAATCACTAGAAAACTTACTCATTTTTTGCTGTGACAAATGAATTAGAACAAGAGCAAAACAGGCCTAAAACTTAAAAGGCTTAAAACTTAAAAGGAACAAAGAAAGTTTATTAACAAAAAAAGAAGTTTTCTTCTGCTAATTTATGGAGTTTTTCACAAGAAAACTATTTTCTTCATAGCTTTCTATTTCTCTGATGCCAGCTGCCCAGAAATTCTGCCATCAGATTCTCTCCTCCCATTTCACATCACTCTGAGGTGTGTTATGGGTCATGAGTCATTTTTAAGGATGAGTTATTCAAAGGCAAAAGTTCTCTTCATCTGTCTCTGTGAGCCTCTCTGGAAACAGAAGTTTTCTCTTTGCCTCTTAAAGGCCACAAACCTTCAACTATTACCTCTTTCAACTATTACCTCTCTTTTTCTGTTCCAGCATCTCATAGGATCACAACTACTTCACCATTTGCTTAAAATCCACACTTTGAAATACTCCATTCCTCCCAATATACTCTGTCATGAATTAAAGGAGTTTTTTTTCAGAACACTAATGTCCATCTCCATAGTTTTAACAGAAAAATATTTGAGCTTATTAAAGCATCTCCTTATTTCTCTCCCCTCTCTGATAGTTTATGGTGTTTCTTTACATGTTGATCACTCCCTCTCTCTCTTCCCCTCTCTATGGGAAAAAAAAAATTAATCTGCAAGTCTCATCTGGGTAGTAAAAGAGTTAAAGTCTTGGAAAGCTGCAGATCTTCATGGTGTCAGGTTTCAGTTCAGTGGCAGAAACTACAAACCAAGCCAGACCAGCTGGCTCCGTTTCTCCCCCCCCGCCCTCTGCGGCCTTGTCCGGCCTGGTTGGGGGGGAGGAGGCCGAGACAGAGCCTGTTACCTCTTCAGAAGCCAGAAACCAAAGAGCTAGAAATTCCCGGGCTTACATCTTAAGGTGGTGTTCACAGGTTGATCTCACTTTTCAATGGTCAAAACTATTGTCAATTCTCAGAAATGGCCAATTATTATCTAGGAGAAAAAACTCCCATCAGCCTCCAGCAGTTTCAACTTCCCTAGCTCTCAAAGCTAATCTTAAAAGTACAGAACTTAATATATAACATAAACTAGGTGTTTGGGGATACCAGTATCATAAAGTCACCCCAGGAAAACATGTGAGAAAAGTGGCTTACCAGAGTTAAAGGGTCAGTGTCTGTCCTTATTTGCACACTCTCCATCTATCCATTATATTTATTATTAGAGTGGTTGCTGAGACAACCAGAGAGGTATGAGGTCCGTCTAACCTCTTTAATCAAGGTCTGGCACAGTATATATGGTCCAGGAGATCCCAATGAAGCTTTTAATTTTCACACTCTTTTAATCTACTTTCTGGGTATGGACTGAGGGAAGAATTTCTCATGCTTCCACAGAGGTAAGCTGGAATGAGGCTGTCAATGATGGTATTGTGTGTGCTCTGGGAATATAATCTAGTTGGTCATCAGTCTATAATGAAGGCTTAGGTCCCTTCTGGCATTTTAATTTGTGATAGCTGAGTGCTTTGCCTTCTTTTTTACTGTGTGATTTTCAGATAATTGTTCCAACTTACACATAATTATATTAGATCTGCTATTTAAATACCATACAACACTTGGACTTGGCTCTTTTTTTTTTTTTTTTTTTTTTTTTTTTTTTGCAAGCCTGCTGCTGCTATCAAGCTTAAAAGAACATGAAAATGTGAGATTTTCACAGCAAAAGTGAACTTCTGGTCTAAGTTGCCTTTTTCTACTTTACTCACTCTGCAACCCAAAGCACCAAGTGCACAATCATGTAATACTCACAGCTCTGAAATCCTGCTGCAGCCAGACAAAGTTTAGGAGGAAAGACTGAAGCAGGAGGGTCAACATTTGACCTCTCTTTTCTCAGCTCTTATTATTTATATTCAGGTAACCACACTTCAAGCTGAAGAGATGAGTGTAGTAACTTTACTGAAAGAAACCACTTTGGGGCTTTAAAGATGTTACTTTCTCTTTTGAAAGCACTTGATCTCACAAATGGTTTTGGATTGTGTTTTGCTCATGGATCTTTGTGGCACAAGGACAATGCCTTTAAGCCACTGGAGCAGTGGTTGTCTTCTCTTGAACCTGCAGGTGCTTCTAACTTGTCTGGTGCTCAACTCTTACTTCAAGCATTACAATATTAATTTGCAGAAACAGGTTTCCCCCTGAGCAGAGGTTGTTGCTTGTTTTTTGTTAATTATTTCTTGTTCTGTCAATTCCTATGTTTTAAAAAGGTATTATGATTTATGTGCGTCTGAGTATATATAATTTCCTTAAACAGATAACATTCTCCAAGACCAGTTTCACTCTTTGGATTTCCTTGTGTGCTTTTCCCTGTGCACCAAAACAAAACAGAAAGCCCACAAGCCTAGCAGAATCTGGGTGAGAGTTTCTTCAGTTTTAACATCCAGCACTCTGAATTGCTTATTGAGGACTGAAGTCACAGCTTATGCGGGATTAGGTAAAAGGTGTTAAAAAACATTCAGAATGAGCTATGGGTGAAACATATAAGTACTTTATAAATTTATCTGTTGGAGGAAGCGGGATGAGAAGTGATGGTTATTTAGGTTTTGAATGATTACAGTAAAATTGGGCATGCATTAAATGCATAGTTTTAGATAGGGCTGATGAGTGTGTAGGATAATAAAACTGTCTGGTGTGTCTCTTTCTTAGACCCCATTTTCAGTTGTTTCTTTTGTTGCCAGAATTTCACCATCTGAAGTGAAGCTTTGCCTGTCATGTCTACTCAGGTGGAATTACAAAGAAGTTGTGTTTCTCCTTTTGATTGGTATACAATTTGTGTTGAGAATATGCCACTTATTCTTCTGGTGAAGTCTTCAAGTCTTCCCACTTGCATCTTGTAGAAAAACAAGCTTGTATGTGCTCAAGAGGCACTTGCTACACTTTGATTTTCCCTTGCTGTTTTCAAGTGTAGGTGCTTAGACTCTCCAAGGCAATCTCTGTGCCATCAGTGCTTTTAAATGGTCTATAAATATTGCATAAAGTGATCTAGCACAGTGTAGGATGGGAACAGAGCTTTGATCTTGAATGCTCTTTCTGAACTGAGGAAATGCTGGCCGAACCCTCTTACCCTATTCCTCATGCAAAACTAAAGGATGGGGCAGCAATATTGTCTTGCTTCTAAGGCTTCAAAGAGCTCAGTTCCTATTGCAAATCTCTGAGTTGTTCTAATGGATATGGTCCTTTGCAGTTTCTTTGATGTCTTTCTGATGATCAGAGTAGCAGGGTGGAAGAAACTGCAAGGCATATGGCCAAATTCTTTTTTCTGTGTAAAAATGGGAAATGGATCTGTGGGAGGAGCTGTACTGCCAAAATTCTTCAAAAGTCAATGCAAGAGGCTTTAGGATTGCTCTGCAGTTAAGCTATATGAATAGCGCTGTGATCTCCCTAATAAAAAGAAAAGAAACCCCAACATATTTACAAATTTTCCTTCAAATATTACAAAACTTAATTTGAAATCCTCTACTTCCACAAAAATAACAGCATTTGAATGTCTTATTTCCCTCCCCCCACCCCTGTCTATCTGTAACTGATGCTCTCACTGTGACCACCACAACATTTTCCTCAGTAGAATTAATGACATTTTATGTGTTTGCAGCCAGAAGAACCTCCATGGTACAAGGGAGCAGTTTGTTTCAAAATCTCATAAGAAGCATGTTACAGAAATTGCTCACAGAATGCGAGGAGAACTTCACATGAGATAGAGAAGTAAATTCTCAGTGTTCAAGGGCTTGGGGGGATAATATAGCCTCTCCAAATTAGACTCTTTGATATTGAAATAGCTTTCATGTGTGACAGGAGAGAACTAACCATCTTCCTTCAAAATAATTGATCACTGGCCACTTACTGTTCCAGCTGTCACGAACTGCCCTCTGTTTTGGCTTAAAAACAAAACTTATCTGGATTTAGACTGTTGGAGCTTAAAAAAGTAATGATCCAGATCAGTAACCTCTTGGTATTTCACTGCCATGGAAGCATCATTAGTCATTCACTGGTGGCAGATTTTAGAGTTAGCCACATAATTTTGGCATGCTAGTTGCTGCAGAGGACTTCAGGGCTCTTCTGTGGAACATCAGGGCTGTAGCACACAGTGATGATTCACCTAAAACAGCTTTCTGTCATTCTTAGCTCATATTTGGGTAAAACTGGAGCTCAGAGAAATGTGAAGCAGGTAGAAGTTTCAGTGTCAGTATTATAGGATTGTCAATGAAGGAGATTGGGAGTCCCACCTCTTAGCAGACCTAATCTTGCTGTGACCAGCCTAAGGCATCCTTCTCCTAGGTGCTGCTAATATTTTCCACTGTCTGGGTCTCTCTGCTGAGTCCATAAATACTCAAAGTGGCAACATAATGCTTGAATGCTAAATAGTCCTGCTTTAGTGAGGCAAAACTAGCTATTTTCTATGGTGTTGTCAGAGAGAAGCAATGTATAAAGCAGAAAGACTGCTTTATAAATGTATATAAAATGTATAAAGAGAAAGACTTAATGAGAGCATGCAATAATCAGCTGCTAGCTCACAAAGCGCACAAGTATCCCCAAATTTCCTTCCCCACAAATCATCCTGATAGTCTAGCATTAAGACAAATGAGTTAATCTGATAACTAGAGAAGATTTAAATAATTAAATGTAGTTTAGAAGTAGTAAAAAATAGCAGCTATGCTGTGCTGCAGAGCTGTGGCTGTACATGCCACAATTGACAGGGAAGGGTACAAAGTGAATACACTCCTTATTTGCAGTTGGCCAGGCACAGCAAATTATCTTTCAATAACTCCAGGAGCTGGCAAGTTCCTTCAACCATGGACTATTTATGGTGCTGCTGTGAGCATGTACTGACACTCTCCTTGTTCTCTGACACAGATTATTTTTAAACAGATGGCAAAACAAAAAGGCAAACCAAAAGGATGCAGAAAGAAAATCACAGCAGAAAGAAGAAATAAAGTCCAGTTTCCAGGTGCTCTTTCATATATAGATGGAGCTGATGGCTGCGGAGAGATATCCAAGGAGAAGGGCTACAGGAAAGTACAGTCTAGCAGCCCTGAGGACAGCATAAATCATTACTTCAGTTCCTCTACACTTTGTCTGGATTTTCCCTTGTTTGAGGGAAAACTATTTTTAAGGTTCTCAAAGGAGGAGCGGGTGACAATAGACTATTCCTTCATTGTTTTGTTTGCTATCTAGTTCTAGTTTCTGCCACAGCTGTTTTTTCATGCTTTTTCTATTTACTTTTCCTGTTTACTAGATGTTATTTCAACATGTTTCTTTGTTCTGTTTTTGGGACAATTTCTCTTAAACCTGAGCTTCCCTCAGAACAGCGGGAGCAGCTGCGGCAGAGCCCAGCAGCATCTGGCTGCTCGAATATTCACCCATCTTCTCAGCAAGAGTTTGAAGGTACAGAGGTGTTGTTATCAGTATCCCACCTAGCAAACAAGAAGGCCAGTTGGGTTACATCTGCAGGGCAGTTGTTGGAGGCTCATCTAGATACACTCTGAGGTTAAATTCCTCAAGCTACAGGGTCCTTACAGCCAAGTTCTTTGATGTTAGTAACAGTCACTGGCACTGTGGGCAGTAGCACAAGATGCCTTCTGCAGGGCTGAACTTTTACTTCTTCATCATTGAAGACACTGCTAGCAGTGAGAAGGGGTATTTTATCAAGTCCAAGCCCTTCCTTCAGCCCACACACTTTGGCAAGCTCTGTGCTTCAGCAAAGAGGAAAACCAACTCCGATACTCAGAAAGATGTTGAAATAAAAATCAATACCATGCAATTATCAGCAGCTCCAGCACAACAGCCAGCATTCTGCACTGCATCAAAAGCATTATCATGGAGTCCAATACTGGAACATTAGTGCAAGCTGAATATTGCTCCTTTGAACTTAGGTTGTTTTCAGTTTGCTCTGTTGTTATTTCCTGTATTGTTTGTTTTACTAAGGAGACAACAGGAAGATGCACGGTTTGCCCTGTTTTTCATAAGCAGCACAGAACTTCTGACAGTGCTATTGCAGGCAGCAGGGAGATCCTTCCTCTCTTGCTTCAGCCATAATGTAACAACTGGCCTATCTCTGTCTTAGCTTTCATAAGGTTTTGTGCCCCTGCTTTGACCAAAACCCACTGTCCTATAACTTCCTTTTCTAAAGGCAAGAGACCTTTCTATTTCCATGTTAAATTATTAAATGTGTGCACGTTCAGTTATTTGAATTGATGGTTTGACCTTCTTAATCTTTTATATATATAACCAATGCTTTTATTTATTAATGTATTTATTTTTTTGTTAATATATTTTTTAAACATAGATCCTTCCTCCATCTTGTCTAGGTTTAATATACTTCTTGTTCTTCTCTCTAAAAGGATACACAAATCAAATTATTTTCCTTTTTTCCCTTCAAGACAAACTACCTATTCCTTTGGTCCTCTTAACAGCGTTGTTCTCCATCTTTTTAAATTTCAACTTGAATCCTCAAATAATGATCAGAATTTTACCCATTTCTCCATTTTTTGTACCATAGCCCTAGCATCTTTTTATGTCCTTCTCCACCAAGAAGCAGTTAAATCTAAGTAAAGAGCAGAAATATTTGCAGTTAGTCACTCTATCAGTCTTTTCAGCATCAGATGGCTAAATTAGTTTCCCTCATTTCCAATAATGCTCTGTCTTCAGTGAAGAACTTGCAGACCTATTTTCACATGTACTGCCACTTATTATAAACTCATCTTCTTTGCCATTTTATTTTTAATGATCAAATTTTCTAAAATGGTTTCGGCAATTACAAGGCTAATAAGAATAACCCACAGTCTCTTGGTTTTATTGGCTATTTGGTGGAGAAATGTGGCACCCATCCCATCTAGAAGTAATTTACCCTTCTATTACCCATCACACTTATTCTACATCCTTTTTGTAGGATACAGAAGTATCTATTAATGATATGATTATTAGTAAAACTCTCCTCCTAATAGCATTGCCTGAGTATATACAACAACCAGACCTCAAAATGAAATAATATCGTGGTTTCTCAGCCCAGTAAAACCTCTTTCATTTTTTTTCCCCAGTGAGATTGAGACAGATACTGTTGTGCCCATGCCATTGTTTCTACCTTTACACTTTATGCTCAGTTCCTCTGAGATGCACCCCACTGCCTTTAGCTTCATCTCTGTCCTTCTGCAGACTGCTTTTTCTCAATACATCTGCTCTAAATGTGGCTGCTATTTTACCACATGCTGTTGTTCCTTCTAGTGTCTGATTTCACATTCTGTTCCAATAGTTTGACCTCGCCCGGTCTGTTTGCCAGGCCTCCTGCATAAGTGCATGATGGGGAAGCACTTTCTTACCAGCCATGCTCATCAATCCATGGGGGAGAGAAGAAGCCTCTTAGAAGCACTATCAGCTGCTTGGCTGTTCTTTCTATCAGTCTGAGTTTCTTTCCTCAAGCTCCATCAGCTGTTGCCAAGTTTTTTGTTACCTCATTTGTTACTCCTGAGAACCAAAATCACTCCCAGTCCCCCCGCTAATTTCCTTCTGGTTTAAAGTCCTTTCTATGAGGCATGCCAACCCTGTTTTGTAGGAACCCAGGATAAAAATATCTGGTCTTTTATCCTTCATCTCTACTCTGATGTCCTCTTTACCATGAAAGTTTCTGCAGTTAAACCTCATGCATCTCTGTATAGGATGTCTACCCTTTCCATGAGAGGGTGGGTAGATTTGTTTCTCCAGATTGTTAGTTCAACCTTCTCAACATTTATAGTTAAATTCTCCTTCCTTTATGTCAACCTGTCATTAAATTGATTTTCCAACTAATATAAGGACTAAAGAAAGCTTTATTTATAGCTCTTACTTCATCCATACATTGGGAGATTTTCACGCCTCTTTGAGTCCCCCACTCTATATTTCAACAATAACATTATATTAGATGGTAACGAGTTTCACAACTCCTTCACCCGGAGTTGTGAAGGGAAAAATCCTAGCACAGATACATGACTAAGCTCTGTGACAGTACATAAACTGCATCCTAGACTCATTATTACATGCACCTCTAAAATGCTGTCATACCTGTAGTTTTCCTAAGCACCTAGACTTGAATCTCAGTTTGTAACTTGTATTTGTTTGATGGGGTACAAGCTTTTTCCAGCAGACCAGGAGCAGCCCTGCTGCAAATCAGTCCCATGGGTCCCTTCCCCAGTCTTTGTACTGGAAGCATAATTTAATAATTTTATGCTTTTTCAGTGACTCAGATATACTCCCTGAGTCTGACAATCTCAGCAGAGATTTTCTGCTCATGCCATGGTCCCTGCAAAGAGAAGCAGCACCTAAGGGACCTCAGTGCAGCTAGCCCTGGTTTAGGAGAAATGCACTCCTGATTACTGCCATGACTGTGTGCCATGGCTGAAGTGTTGGATTATTTTAGAGGATCTGGTTCTCAGAAATGGAACAAATTTGTGCATAATTAGACCATAAAATTACCTGGAATTCATTCACAGCTACTTGTGAGTAACAGTATCTAATCAGACATTGCTCCTGAGATAAGTCTGCACTGGTACTTCCAATTAGGAAGTCATTACAATGCATGCACACACATTTCTGAAAAACTCAGTCCTGAGAGACCAAACAGAGTTGGTGTTGCTTGCTGGCATTGCATGTAAAGCCCTTCTGAAAAAAGCTGATTGCATTGTGCTCTGAGTATGTGTGGACTGAAGCGGTTCAGTAATGAAGGTGCCTGAGCTTATCACTTTACTAATATAAGTATTTCTGTTAACAACACCGCTTGGAATCGGGCTGCAATGCAGCCCTGTTTTCCACAATATTACTTTAATGCAATTTGGTTTCAGTGAGGCTTAAGCAGACACTTAAATGTAAACTGTTCCCAAAAGTGTGGTGCCTGACTGAACAAAATGAATATGCAAGAATATTTCAGAGCATTCAAATCAACCTGAAACTAAGAAATTGGAAGGTGTGTCTTTGCTGAAGCAATACAAGACTTTATTGTAAGGAAGGATTTTAATTACAAATCCATGCTCAATGTTTTGAGACGTTGAAGGCATCAATTGCAGGCATGTGGTTATTTTCTGTGGCATTCAGCTGTTCTCTATATTCACACCCCTGGAAACCACAGGAACCTTGATTTTCTTCAAGCTGAGCTAGACAGGCGACTTCAAAGGGAAGAAAGCAGAGCCCTTATGAGTCAATGCTTTGAGTCAAAAAACATGTTTTTGACAATTTTTTAACTCCACTAACCTAGAAACCAGTCTAGAGGGCTTATTATGGATTAATAGTAATCTGTCTTGATGTTTGCAGAGCAAACTGATGAGCAGGCACATGAGGAAGATGAACTCAGTGTTCAAGTCAAATATTCTGTGAAAGGGTTGGGTAGTTTCCAGTGCAGTTTTCAAACTATCTGAGATAAAAAAAGACATCTGATTAGATCATTCTGTCCTCACAGCATCAGAAGCTCAGACATAAATGTGATACAGTTTTGGTCTCTTTTCCTATAGTCTGCTGATTTTGAGCTCTTGCAGGAAATTCTCTATTTGGGTTTGAACTCTACTAGCATTTGCCTTCCTGAATATTTGATCATGATACTAGATTAAAAAAAATATTCTAACAGATTCTTGTCTGTCCCCAAAATGCTGATATCTCAGTGCAGCATGCAGAGATTCATGTACCAGTAGATTTGATATATAAGAAGCATTTGTCCATTTAGCTTTCTGCATTTCATAAGGTTATGTATTTCCTTGTTATGTGCAGGAGCTGTCACCCTGGATCAGAGCTGAGGTGATTCATTGGTTTAATCCTACTGGAGCCAGAAGTAACATTCACATAAGAATTTCAATTAAAACTCAGAAGAGATGTAAGATATACACTTTTAACGGGGAGGGTGATTCGTCATTGGGAAGGAACTAGCCTTGGAAGCAGCTAATTTTTCATTTGTATTTGCAAATTAGAACTGGAAGTCTTACTGGAAGATATGCTGAAGCCAAAACCAGGTTATTGTGTTCAGTACAAGGATAGCTGAGTGGAATCAGATGGCATATTCTTGAAGAATGGGCTACATGAAGAGACCATTTTTTCAGTTCATTTGTCCTACATGCAGAAGAACAAAGTCCCCAGGAGCAGGACAGACCAGCTTTCATGGTATAACAAAGACCTATGACTTCTCTTCCTACTCCAGTCATCTGAAGTTGAGAAGGTTTCATGCTGCTGGCTTGGTGCTTCCCTTTGACAGACACCATTGTCACAGCACTGATTCAGTGCTGAAAGTATGCATTTCTACTGAGGGGCTAGGTTTAGAAAATACAAGGCCTTCTGCAAAATCAGCATGTGTTTTGCATGGGAGAAAAAAGGATGTGGCAGAGTGTAGGCATGAGGAGTAGGATAGGAATATTAAATTCATAATTTTTGTTTTCTAGGAACTGTATCATGAAAACTGTTCTAGGAAGTGAAATCAGCTGGGGTTTGGTTTTTCTGGGGCATTTGAAATATTCAGTAAATTTAGAATACATTGTGTCATACCCTAGTACATGACTCTGCATTGGAGCCACAAGTAGCACCTCTTTGTTTCTGAGTTTTTTTATTCATGCAGGACAGAGCCCAGTAGGTGTTCTTGTTTACAACCTATTTTCCAAGACCATTGTGATCTCCTGTTGTTTTCCACACTGGAAAGGGTCATATTTCATTTGTAGCAGTAAAATAAGTACATATGTAAATCAGGGCCTCCCTTACTGCTGAGGGACAGCATCTGCAAGGTGATGTTCATTCATGAACTTTTTTTTTTCTGGGATGGTATAGACACTTTTTGTTTGGATATAGCTTTTCTTTCATGTTTCCTGGTCTTGCCTTTAATTTATCCTTCAAGATATACACTCTTGGACAGCTACCAGGAGACACCAACTGCAAAGAGAAATCCCACAGTCCTCCATGTGCTCTAGACTTCAGGTCTCTTATAACTGGCACATTATTGGGAACTGGAGAAAAGATAAGGTGCTTGCAGTAGCTTGAAGCACATATAGTTGCAAAAGTAATACCTCTTGTCTCCATTATTTGCAGTCTTTGGCCAAAGTGGTAACAGCTGGCTGCCAAAAGCTTGCAAAATCAGCCTATAAAATATAGGCTATAAATTATACCAATAGTGCTGTTTCCCAAAGTTACTGAGTAGTGTCCCACTAGCATGCAGAGTGGCTGCAGGGCTGTGAAGGATGTGAGAAACAGTTTTGGCTGCAAGAGGTTTGCTGTGTCATCTAACTTCACCACGCCAGATCCTAGGAGCAAAATCCAGCAAAGTGTGCTCACTGGTCCTGTGCTGCACACCAAGGGGCTGACAGGATTTCATGAGGCATTGCTTCATGTCTCTGTTCCAGACAATGCCACAGAGTTCTCTTCAAGACAATGGCAAGATGTTGCAGCTGAGGATGATTCGCTCCAAACAACCTTTTCCACAAGCAGCAGGTATGAGATATAACCCTACCCACGTATTACAGCTTTACCTCTCCAGAACTACCTTTGTGACATTCTCCATGACTGGCTACACAAGCTTTCAGCTTCATGCTGTATGTAGCAAGACCAATCAGCTTGGTTGAATTTGCAACTTTTCAGATACTTTGCAGTGTGAAAGCATTCACAAAGAGGAACAATTTTGTCTGAGTGTCACAGGGTGGGACATGAAGACTATCTGTGTTCTGGGTGGTCATGTTCATTCTGATCCACAGAGGGTTACATGGAGCAAGGATCCTTCTCTGGTCCAGCATGAGTTTTATGGACACAGATTAAGATGTGTTAGGAAAAGAGTCAATATAGCAGCATTTTCAGTAGATATTTCCACACTGCAAAGTGCCTGGAAAATGGCATTCTGTCATAAAAGTTGCTTGAAGCTGTACATTTGTCTGGAGCTCAGACATCTGACCTAAAGTTCCAAGGAAGTCCTTCAGCCAAAGTGGTAGCTACAGGTCTGATTGATCTGAAGTTATCCTTCTTTAGAAGGTGATGTGTGGCTCAGGGTCTTCCCTCAGGGTGATGAGAAAAGTTGCTGCTTCTTTTGACTACTATGATGAGATATCAAGCTACTAGGCTAAAAGGCCAGCAGATTCAATTTCTGCCTTCACCCTTTGAACCACAGGGTTCAAAGAGAGCCCTGGGAAGGTCCCTTACCTCTCCTCCTAACTATGTGCCACTTGTTCAGTTCCTGGGCTGTGTAGGCCTGGGTTCACTTAAACATGAATTAAAGCTCTAGGTTTATCAAACATAGGGCACAGCTGGAAGTCAGGTGGCAGAGGACCTTCAATCTGGCAGTGGGATGAAGGTCCCACTCTATCTAAGTACTTTAAACATAGATGTTGTGTCCTGCTTTCTAAGTACCCACTTTTCTGCACCAATTTTCTGTAGAGAGAAAAGTATTTGACCTTCTGGTGGGTTCTTGTTCTGAGCACTAAAAAATTCATGCTTAATAGCTGGTAATTTTGTGTGAGGGTAAAATCTATCTAGCACTATGGGTATTAAAATGTGAAAAATCAGACAGAAATCTAGACAGGGTGACAGAATGATACATTCAAGAAGAACTCTGAAAACTTCTATGTCAAGAAAAGGAAGACTGCCTCAAAAAGCCTTGCTTCTAATCCCTCTCTCTCACTGGTTTCCATGAACACTGAACTGGAGTATGCAGCACTTCTCTGATGCATTTCCTTCACACCAACAATGGTCCATGTATGTATGACTTTTGAAGATAGTGGCTCTTATTGAATTACTGAGCTAGTCTATCAAACGATCCTCCCTTCATTGGAATTTCACATCCTGAGTTTGTTGGTTATGCTATCTTTTGCTATACTTTTCATAAGGCTGTCATGGCAACAAAGGGAGAATGAGATTTTCCTTCAAAACTTCCCTGTTTGTCATCCAGATGAAGTGATGGTGTGCCTCTGGTTACTGATTGTAACCACCCTTATGAAAGACCTTCCACAAGGGCACGTCTAAACAGGTACTTGCTCAGCTTCACTGTCTCATCTGTTTTCCCCTTCTGTGGACAAGCATGAAGAGGTAGTTTGTCTTCAATAGTTCAATAAAAAAACTCCAAAATAGCAGGCTTTTCTCTGTGTGCTCTGCAGCATGGACATCAGCACCTTGCCTCCAGCATGAAACTCCTCCTTGTCCCTCCACTTGCTGCCATTTCTGTCCCAAGCTACAAGAGCTGCAAGCAGTAGGTGAAACACAGTTTAAAAATGAAAGGATAAATTGCTGCAGACTTGGGTCTGGAATATGTCAAATTAAAAAAGAGGGATAAACCATCCCTGCTTCCAAGCATTGCAATATATTTGCCTGTGATATTTTGTCTTTGCTCATGTGTTGCTGGTGGCAATTTGGCAGCTTAGAGTCTGCACAGTCAGCTGTTTATCCCTGATATTTTATTTTCCATTTTGTCTAATTTCTTCTCCTTACTACTAACTTTTACCTCCTGTGTGGCTGAATCAATGCCTTTCCATCTTTGATAGCTAAACCTACGATATTTGTATTGGTGTTAGCTGCACAAAACTACCAAGCTTCAAAAGTTGTTCATTGTACTAGTTTCATTGTGAGTTATTAAAAACTGGCCACAACCTTCATTGCCTTCATTTCCAGGCAGTTTTTTTATAGGACATGAACTTTAAAACCTAGTTCTTAATGACATGCTACTACAACAATGAGGAAAGGATCTGGCTATTGTTGCATTCAATTTATTTTAAGATTTCGCATTACTAGTCAGGAAACATAGGTGCAGATCATGAACTAGGAATTCCATTTTGCATGCTGATGCTCCCATGAGATTGCTTTTCTTTGTTGTATGCTTTGTTGTATTTGAAATGCATTTTGAAAATTCATGCACAGAGAAATTTTCCATTATCCTGGGTAATTCAGATCCATCAGAGGATGTAAAATATTTCAATAACACATGAAAATTGCACCAAATTAATTAATGCCTAATCTAATTATAATTCCCAAGGTATTGTTAGACAAACATCATTATGGTAATGTGAACTGCATTTATTAAAAATGTTATCATTGTGGATTTCTTTGTTAAGAAAGGGTGCGTTTGCAAATACTGTGTTTCTTGTTGTTAATTTGCACATGCAAAAGCAAATATGCAACTCTTGAGAAATTACATTGCCCTTTCAATTAAACTTCAGATGTTTGTCTATAAGCAGCTATTTTTTATTTTGCGATAAACAGGTAATACCCCAGGGACCTTCTAGAGTACTTATGCAAGACAGATTATCAGCCAAGCAGAAACTTAGTTCTCTTTAATGATTATTCACACCAATTTCAAGAACAAATCTGCATTATTTTCTTATAGTTTTTAAATAACTTTCATTTTCCTTTGTTTCCTTCAGTTTCTGGTACTCAGGATTATGGCTTGCTTCATATTTTGAATTGTTTTTAGCTTAAATCAATTAAACAAATATTCAGCAGTGATGCTTTTTGAATGGTTTGGATTTTCTCTCACTAGACATTTTATTTATACTGACTTTACAGCAATTGAGGCCTTCTGTCTATGAAGATATCTTGTAATAATGTCTAATATCAGCTCTATCTGGTGTCAGGTTGTAATATTGTGGTTACCACCTTCCTCTGCCCCCGTCTTGCGGAGTTTCTGTGTCACCTCTGTCTCAGAGTCATCACTTGCCTCTTGTTCCATGTCCCTAAGTACCAAGTGTAGCAGGGTGGAGAAAGGATGTGACAGAGCTGGCAAGACAAATACTGTATGGGACAATGGCTTAAAAGTGCTTTTGGCCTGCCTCCTACCTTCACCATGTCTTGAGACCATGGAGGGACTCAATCTGCTCCTCTCATTTATGTCATGGCATTTACTCTTGCATGTTTATGTAGGGGTGAAATTCAGAAATCCACATCCTGCAGAGCAGGAGGGCAAGGACAGCACTCTAATTTTTTACTCCACTTGAACTTGGGAGTTCTGTTCTTCTGGACCACAGATTAAGACCATGAATTGATGCCAATTTTTTCTTGCACATCCCAAATTAAATGAATGTCAGCCAGCAAACTGGAGTGGTGCTGATGCCAACACCTCGTCACCATGCAAGTTCACCCTGCAGAGTAGAGTGTCTTGCTATGCACTTCAGGATAAACAAGGCTTTAAGGAAATAGTAGGAGGCTTGTACTCTGGACAGCCAGCCATGATCACCACAGGCTGGGCATTCCATAGAGGAAAAAGTCCTTGGGATTACAGCAGTCAGAAAAGTCATGGCACAATATTGGTTATTGGCATGGGACTTAAGTATTGATGAAGAAGCAGCAGAGGAAAAAGACACCTACCTCTGAAAACAATGGGGAAAATAATCCCATGGGATTTTGTCTTTCCAGACAATAGGACAGCAGCAGCTCAGTTTTCTGTTGGCAGAGAAGGCATGTTGGCAGGGGAAAAGCATGACAGGTGTGTTGTTATATTCCCCTCTGGGCTGAGCAACAAATGTTCATCTGAAATCTTACCGATGCAAAGCAGAGTGAGAGTATGAAAAGGTGGGAGAGTGGCATTCCCAGTATTCTGAAAATGTGCTGCAAATGAGCAACAGATGGAGCCTCCAGCATCAGCAGCCTTTTCAAGCAGGCTTGCTCACATTGCAGGCTTGTCAGGTGTCTGAAACTATAGGAAAGACTCTGATGATGAGGTTCCTTGTACCCACAAGCAGCCTAAGTACCACTAACAATTACCCCAGAGCACTGAATATCTGTTCTTTCATGGCCTTTTCTAACACTGCATACACCCCTCATATTGCTACATACAAGAGGTTTTTTTGGGAAAGAGCAGATGAAATTCCTGGATACATGAAGGTACTCCCTAAGCTTTGTTACCCCAGCTTTCCACAGGACCAATGTAGTCTGATGGTGACTGGGATCTGTGTCCTGGTGACAGATGGGAGCTGTAAGCTGATTGTCCAGCTAATGTTTAATATCCAGCAGCTAGTATCCATCATCCTTGCTGCAGTTGTTTCTGTAGTGCAACAGATAGTAACCAGATGAGAGTATGGAAGGTGAATCTGTCCAGAAAATCCCACAAGAACCCAAATTGTAGATGATGGGTGGAAAGCAGAAACACTAAGATCCTCTTGGTTCCATGGCAAAGTACTTCTTCAACACATGATGATTTGCCCTTTTCTCTAATAAAAAATGAGTGGAAGGGCCTACCATTTGCAAGGTCTCATTTAGAGCCTGATGAAGGGATGTTTTCAATCAGTTTATTGTTCGTATACTTTTTTTTTTGTTCCTTGTTTGTTTTGTTTAAATGGTTACAGTGTTCCTTGGTTTACTGTCTGGCTTAGAGTTTATTCTTCTATTAATTCCCAGACAGAATGTCAATGGCTAAGATGCAATTTTAATGAGCTATCAGTTCTAAAACACTCCAGACTTATGCCCTAATTAAACATAAACATGATGCAGGGTTGTGAAATTGTTCTGTAAAGGACTGC